GGCTAAAAGATACTAATGAAGGCTCGTGACTATTTCTAGACCCCCCCACCCAGCTTGGCCCTGATTGGCCAGTGAGTGAAAACAATTCACATGAAACCAATGAAACAATCAACTGTTGGATAAATAATCTCCAACCACATTCCAAAGCAGCACAACACAGGAGAAGCAAATGAGATAAATATTGTTTTCCTTTTTCTCTGAGGCTTCTCAGCTTCCCATGAGAAGAATCCTGGGCAAAGGGATTTTTCCAGAAAATATGACTGCCACACTTCCCAACAAGCTGTGCTGGGCTGGGCAAGGACTAAAAGACACCAAGATGCAACTGTGCCACCCCTTCCCTTTGTCATCACCCTCCTCCAGGCCAACCTACCCTTTACCTGTGTTTTCTTCTGCCTGGCTTTGATGGCAGCCTCGGTGCACAGGTAGAAGGCGGCGATGCACTGAGCCTCCAGCCTGGAGCTGTCCAGCAGGGGCACCAGGCGCTGCAGGTCCTGCGCTGTCCTCCCCTGGGTGTTGTCGCTGCTGCCCAGCATCCGGCAGGCGAACTGCTCGGGGTCCAGCGAGGCGATGAAGGGCTCCACCAGCGCCAGCGTCCCCGAGCGCTCCACCTCCTTCTCGATCTCCTTGTTGGTGGCCAGCACCGTGATGGCCAGGCAGGCGTGCAGCCGGATCAGCTCGTCGTCTTTGGAGAAGGCCAGGGGGAAGAGCCACTCTGCTGCCTTCTTCTCGATCATGAGGCGCTGGTTGGCCTGGCCCCCGTACATGGCACAGTTGGCCAAGGCCATGGCGCAGTGGCGCAGCACGGCGGGGTCTGTCCAGCGGCACCAGTACAGGATGGTGTCCAGTCCTCCGTCGGAGATGAGCTGGAAGCAGGTCTCCTCCGTGTGCTTGAACATGTGCTCCAGGATCCCAGAGAGGCTCTGGGCCAGCTGGGGGATGTCCCTCTCCTTGGCTAAGTTCAGGATCACGCCCAGACCAATGCGAGCAATGCGGTCCCTGAGGGGAGGAGATGGGGAGAGGGGCAGGTGGATGTGCAAGGGGTGACAGCAGTGGCTTGTGAGGCCCATGCCTTGGTGACATTTATCTCAGGACAGGCATTTATCCCACTGCCAGATATGATGTGCAGCAAGGTGCCTTGGAGAAACCTGTGTAGGTCTGACGGAAGAATTTGTGATGGCATGCACATCCCACCTACCTTCACTGGATGCTCTCATGCTCAAGGTAGGATCTTCATAGCAATTAACAGGCAGGATGGGTTAATGCCAGGCTGGAAATGGATCTGCTGGGCCGGCATTGCTGTGGTGTGGAGCTGTTTTGTGTTTGGGAGTGAAACTTGTTTGTCCCCTAAGCACTGCTGACAGGACAGGGCTTCCACACGTGGATGAGCAGCCAGACAGCCCTGTCCACAAGTGGGACACTGGGGTCTGTCTGTCCTGGGATGGCAGATGAGGAAAGCTCTTTATTTCCTCACCCTGCACTCTTCTGGAAGAGAGCAGCAAGAGCCTGGGGTAGGTGACCAAGGGCCACCAGGTGCTGCTTGGCCATGGCTGGTCTTGGGACGCCTGTGATGCCTGAATGGGGATGTGACTTGAAAATGCAGTGAGGAAGGGGAAAATGAGGGTCATAGAATGATTTGGGCTGGAAAGGACTGGAAAACTCATCCAGGTCCAAGCCCCTGCCATACGCAGGAACACCTTCCACCAGCCCAGGCTGCTCCAAGCCCTGTCCAACCTGGCCTTGGACACTTCCAGATATGGAGCAACCACAGCTTCTCTGGGCACCCTGTGCCAGGGCCTGCCCACCCTCTGAGATGAGCTCTTGACTGTGCTCCCATGAGTGTCCTGGGGCAAGTGGCAGCTCCATTCCTGCCTCAGCAGTGCCATTTGGTGCCACTGTGCTGGAGCTGCTGTGTTAGGGAGGCAGCACTGGCACCGGTGCCCCAGGCCCTGCTGCTCAGGAGGGCAGTGCCACGCTCACAGTGGGGTGATGGCACTCCAGCCTCTGTGCTGGCAGGCAGGAAGAGCATTTCTGGGAAGCCTGTGACCCACAGGGCTCTCTCTGACCTTGGGGTGGGTTTGACAGGAAATGTTGTGGAGAGCCCTGGGAAAAAAAAAAAAAAAAAATAAACCCTCAGCCTGGGTCTGGCTGTGAGCCCGGACTCAGCCATGGAGCTGGATGACAAACATAGGTCCCTGACTCCCTGCAGCTGCAGATGGAGCCAGGACCTGTCCAGCGCCCAGCTCAACACCTCTGCTGCTGGGCACGGGCTGGGAGAGTTCTGCAAGAGGGAGGCTGGACTCAAAGGGGAGCCCCACACCTCCCTGCCATGGCTCAGCAGCTGTGGGAAGAGAGGGGCTGGAATGCCACGGCTGCTCCAAGAGCGTGAACTGCTCCTGGAGCAGAAACAACAGCTCCAGCAAATGCTTTCTCTTGCTAAGGGGCTGAGTGCTGAATGCAGACCATGCCAGTGATGCTTCCTGGGATTAAATTCCACCCTAATGGGCTTTCCTGATTTAGCTGCTGCTTATTTTTGCTTGCCAGAGCATGAAGTGAGGCCCAGGCTGTGAGTCCACAGCCTTCCAGCAAGAGACATCCCCCAGGAAACCAGAGCAACCTTTGGCCAGGCTCCCTCCACATCCTTTCCAAAGCCCTGGCTGGGCTGGGTTGGGGTGCTCTGAGGGAGAGCAGAGCTGTCAGAGTGCATTTGGGGTGCTGGAAGGGTGAGCTGTGTGTGGGTGCTGTGATTAGGATGTGTCAGGTGTGCACATGCACCTTTGTACACACACACACACACACACACACACACAGACACACAGACACACACACACACACACACCGTGCCCATGCTCTGACAGAGACATCCCAGCACCTCTCACCTGTCCTGGGCAGCAGCACACACACCTGAACGTGGGGCTGGGGGCTGCTGACCCCTCCTTATGGCTTCATCCCAGCTCTGGTCAGCAGCAGGGAGGCTCTGGGGAGTGGCTTTGTCCTCCTCGTGCTGCAGTTATGGCTAAAGGAGAGTCACACCTTGTCCTTTGGGCCAGATGCTGTGAGCCAGCCAAACTGACTCAGCTCAGCCTGAGGCTGAGGGGGCTCAGGAGGACACCCCAGTCCTGACCAGCACCCCTGGGCTGGGGCTGCTCCTCCTCCCTCCAGCTGTGGGGACAGGGAGCAGCCCATGGTCATTGCCTGGACACGAGTCAGGGACCCTGTGCACAAGCTGTGGGGGGATGTGGTGGGGGTCCAAGGGGGTTTGTGCAACTGGGAGCACCCACATCAGGGAAATCTGGGGGTGTGGGGATGGGTGAAGGTAGGTCAAGGCCAGGTTGGATTGATTTGAAGGAACCTGGTCTGTGCAAGGTGTCCCTGCCCATGGCAGGGGGTTGAGATGAGGGGGTCCCTTTGAACCCAGCCTGTTCTGGGGGCTGTGCCCAGCAGGGTGAGGCTGAGGGGCTCCTTGCACACTCACCTGTTCTCTGCCACCAGGATTTGCTCCAGCAGTTTCCCCGCCTGGCACTTGGTCTCCAGCTCGGCGGTGTAGAGCAGGCTGAGCAGCAGGTCCAGGCCGCCCTCGAGGCGGATCACATCGCACAGCACCTTGGCCACGTCCCTGCCCACGGCGGGCATCCCCCAGGCCTCCTCCACCAGCCGGAACACCTCGGAGAGCGCGGCCCGCAGCGCCGGGGCCGTGTCCGCCCTCATGGCGTGGCCCAGGGCCCTGCGGAGCACGGGCAGGACCCGCTCCAGCGCCTCCCGCGCCTCCGTGCCCACCCCGGGCGAGACCCCGCCGCCTCCGCCGCCGGCCCGGCCCGCAGCCCCGGGCACCGCCAGCAGCTCCGCGCTCGCCATGGCCAGCGACCGGCCCAGCGTGTGCAGCGACAGCAGCAGGGCGAGCATCGGCTACCGCGGCATGCCCGGCGCCGGCAGCCCCCGCTGCTGCCGGGACACCGGAGCGGGGCACCGGAGCGGGGATGCGCTGCCCCGCCGCCCCCGCTGCCCCCGCTGCCCGGCCGGGATGCGGAGATGGGAGCGGGGCGGGATCCGCCTTCCCCGAGCCGGGCTCAGCATCCCGGTCCCCGGGGCTGATGTCACCGGGAACAGGCGCCGCCTCTCTCCGAGGAGGGGCTCGGTGCTGGCTGCTGCAGCCCCCTCCTCCCGCTGCTGAGCCCCCCAGAGCCCCCCAGAGCCCCAGAAGGATTTAACAGAATCTGGGATGTGGCACATGGGGACGTGGCTCGGTGGTGGGCTTGGCAGTGCTGGGATAACGGTTAGAGTCACTTTTCCATCCTAAATTAGAGGACTTTTCCATCCTATATATTTTGTTTCTGTGATTGCGGCCTTTCAGTACTTAAATAGGGTTCATTAATAAAAGGGGAAGTGACTTTTTACACTAATAGATACCAATAGGATAAGGGGGAGCGGTTTTAAAATAAAAAATGAGAGATTTAGATTAGATTCCAGGAGAAAATTTTCACTTGTGAAGTGCTTGTTCAGGGAAGCTGTGGATGTCCCAACCCTGAAAGTGTCCAAGGCCAGGTTAACGGGGCTTGGAGCAACCTGGGATAGTGGAACATCACAGGATTTGGAACTAGATAATTTTCCATTTTCAACCCAAACCATTCTATTCCACAGCCCTCCCTGCCCAGCCCGACCTGGGGCTCATCCTGCTGTCCCCATGGCCCACTTTGTCCCCAAGTTGCTGCTGCCGTGTTACCCCCATGGCAGGCAGGAACCCCCACTCTGGTTTGTCAGGACCCCCCTTCAGGACCCTGTGTGAGCAGCGAGGGGACACAGGGGGCAGGCAAAGGCCACCAGGCACCGTGGTGGTCACGGTGAGGCTGTGACCACCCTGGCACGGTGCTCTGAACCCCTTTGGTACCAGCAGGAAGCAAATCCCCATTGCTTGGTGGAAATTCAGAGCAGCTCTTCTGGGTGGGCTCGGGATTTGCATGATAAAAGAAAGAGCAGAGGCAGCCTGGGCTTCTTTTGTTTTCTTTTTTCCAGGCCAGACGTGCTCAGGGCAGAAATGCTTAAATGCTTTGGGCATTTCTCGGATATGCTGGGAGGAGCAGCTTAAATCCTTGACTCCAACACCAGGTTGTTGCCAGGTCAGCCTGAGACTTAAATTCGAGGTGATGTTTGGATGTGACAGAGTCGCTCTTAATCCTCTCTGAATCCACTTCGAAGGGACAGACAGAGGAAAGGGACATCATCCCACAAAGAAGGACGGCGAACAAGGTACCCTGAGCAAGGCAAAACTGCGGGAGCAACTTGGCACAGAACCAGTAAGGAATTTCACAATAAATTATTATTAATCAGAAACATAAGGGCTGTTGCAGTGTAGAGCAGCAGAGAGGGTTTGCTGCCCGGGGGCAGCAGAATTCAAACCATTCCCTTCGGCTTGTCCTGGCTGGCCCAGAGAGCTGAGCTTTGTTTTGCTTTTAGTTTTGCTTTGCTTTGCATTTTTTGGGGAGAGATTTCAGACCCAGCAGTTCCCAGCCTTGCCCTGGGGTTTCAGCCCCATTTCCCGAGTTCTCCTCACTGGCTCTGCTCAGCCCTTGGCTGCAGGAGCTCCCCGGGGCCCCTTTATCCACCCAACCCCTCTCCTGGGACCTGCTCCTGTCAGGGAAGGGCTCGCTGAGCCTCCATGGGTTTGTGGCTGCTGGTTGGGAGCCCGGAGCAGCAGGAGGGAGCTTTGTCTTAGCTGATCAGCCAAAGCAGCTCAGACAATGCCCAGCCCTTCATCCCCAGAGCCTCCTGCGAGCCTGAGCCCTCTCAGGGCTGCTGTCCTGTTCAACAGGGATGGGATGAACCCCTTGGGGACAATGCCAGCCCTGCCACAGCTGAGGCCAGGGGAAAAGGAGTGGGTGAGGGCTGCAGAAGGAGTTCTGTCCCAAAAGTCGATGTCTGGGAGCTGCTCTCATCTCCCCAGGGCTTCCAGGTGGAAATGTCTCTCAAAACCAAATAAAGCTCTTTCCAGCAAGATGCCAGGAGCAGACGATGCCAGGAGCTGCCTGTGTCTGAGTTTGTAGAGGAAAGACCCTGGAGAATTGGCATCCTGCTTGGGTTTCTCTCCCCCTAAAAGCTGCACCAGGGGCTGGGACAGATCCCTTGGAGCTCCTGTCCCAGCAGAGGCAGAAGAGCCAGGATTGCTGCAGCCTCGTGTGCGTTTGCTCCTTGCCCCGATTAAATAAACACCCCAGAGTTATCAGGAGCTGCCAAAAGAGCTGAGTCGACATTAATTAGTAACTGAGAGATTGGTTGGAAGGGGAATGACGGGAGCAAAATACACAGGCCTTTGTTTGCCTTCTGCAGTGAAAGTGCTGAGGGCTCCTGGCCCCGGCCACTCACCTCTGGCCCCTGGTCCCCAGGCATGGAGGTGGCATCTGCCCCATCCTCAGCCACCCTGCCTTGGGGATCCCCAGGTCTGTTCCCAGCCTTGACAGTGAGAAAGCTGAAATCCCATGAAAATGGTGATATTTTGGGCAAGTATAAGCACGGGGTTCCTTCCCTTTGTCTTCTGAGCATTGCTCCCTCATCCCATCTCATTTGGGGTTTTGGCTTTGCCAAGACCAGGCTGGGAAACAGCTGGCTGCTCTTAGACCATGAGGTATGTTGTGAAATGAGTGTGGCAAGACCTCAGGAGTGGTTCCCGACTCTCTGCTGTCCCTGCCCACTCTCTGAGCAGTGCCCACCCTGCACCAGGCTGGGGAGGAGCTGCTTACACCCCCTGTGTCCCTGCAGACAGCTCCAGCTCAGCGTGGGCTGCGGGGGAAGCTGGGTGGGAGATCATCTCTGCCCCTTTCCCCTGTGCCGACCTTGGGCTGTTTGCTTTCCCCTCCGGGGCAGGCTGAGCAAACACTGGACGCTGCTGGGGCTCTGCCGTGCTCCAGCTCGCACAGACACAGGAGGGACACCCAGGATGAGGCTGCTCTTCCCTGCCCTCGTGCTGGCCCTGCTGGCCACCACCCGTGCTGCAGAAGGTGAGATTTAGCCAGCCAACACCTTGCCAGGTGCTTTGGGGATGGAGAAAGAGAGATCTTGGGCTGGTGGAGAGGCTGGGCAGGGTGGGGAGGGAGCAGATGGAGGCCATGGCCATGCTGGCTGTACCCTGCAGGATGGGGAGAAACAAGTGGGGAGCACATGGGTGTCAGTGGTGGCATGGCAAATCCCTGCCCAGGCACAGCTGGGCTGCCAGCATGGAACTGGGAGCAGGGAACACCGCAATCCATGGCTCCCATCCCATCAGGACCTGAGTGGGAGCAGGGAACACCCCAATCCATGGCTCCCATCCCAGAGTGGGAGCAGGGAACACTCCAATCCATGGCTCCCATCCCAGAGTGGGAGCAGGGAACACCCCAATCCATGGCTCCCATCCCTTCAGAACCCGAGTGAGAGTAGGGAACACTCCAATCCATGGCTCCCATCCCAGAGTGGGAGCAGGGAACACTGCTCCATGGCTCCCATCCCAGCAGGACCTGAGTGGGAGCAGGGCAAGGAGCTGCTGTCACCCCTGGTGATGGATTTGACCATGAAGGAGTGGGGTACCCCCAACCAGGACATCCCCAAGTTTGTTTTCTCCCAGAAGGGAGGCATGGGCCTCTCTGCCCCACTCCACATCACCCCTCCTGAGGTATGGATGGCTTTTGCAGACTCCTGTGAGGGCCGCTGTGAGGAAGGCTTTGATGCAGGGCACAAGTGCCAGTGTGACACCCTCTGTGTGTACTACCAGAGCTGCTGCAGTGACTACTCCACCGTCTGCAAAGCCAAAGGTACTGTCCCCATGGCCAGGGCATGGGGGGAATGGGTGCTCCACACTTGGGGTCTGTGCTGGGTCAGCTCTGCACCCACCTGTGGCTGAGGCGTGAAGTCAGCACCAGGATTTGCTGCAGCACAGGGGGGTTTGGGAGCTGGCTCGTTGCCATCTGGAGTGAGGGATCTGTGCTAATTGGATAGATTGGTTAGTAGGAAAAATGTCTTCTCTGAAAGGGTGTTCAAGCATTGGAACAGGCTACCCAGGTGGAATCACAATCCCTGGAAGCGTTCCAAAAAGTGTGTTCTTGTGGTGCTTGGGGACGTGGTTGGCAGTGCTGGGTTGAATTGGACTTGATGATCTCAGAGGGCTTTTCCAACCTTACTGACTCCATGATTCTATAAATCCCTATTGCCTGGGAGGGAGCATCTCCTGCTCCCAAACCCAGGGGGAACCATCATGCTCCCTCCTGCAGTGACCCGGGGAGATGTCTTTGCCTTGCCCGAGGACGACTACCTGGACTACAACCTCACTGTGGACTTTGTCACCGAGGAGGCGCCCGTGGCAGAGCCCACAGAGCTGCCCACAGCCCCAGCGCCAGTGGAGACCACACCAGAAAGCCTGCCAAACACTGACGAGACACTTGCAGAGGTGCCCAACACCACCCCAGGTGATTCTGAGGAGCCTGAGGAGCTGTGCAGCGGGAAACCTTTTGATGCCTTCACCGACCTGAAGAACGGTTCCCTTTATGCTTTCCGAGGTACTTTGGGGACCTTCCCCAGGCATGTGGGACGTGCTGCCATGCTGTCACCCTGTGCTGCTGTCTGCAGTCCCCCCTGCTGCCCCTGCCTCTCCTCTCTCCCCAGGGAAGTACTTCTATGAGCTGGACAAGACCAGTGTGAGGCCTGGCTACCCCAAGCTCATCAGTGACGTCTGGGGCATCGAGGGCCCCATCGATGCAGCCTTCACACGCATCAATTGCCAGGGCAAGACTTACCTCTTCAAGGTGGGCTGGGGGTACTCCCAGGGTGGCCAGCACAACCCCCCAACCCACCCTAAATCCCCTTTTGGCACCTCCCATACACCCCTGCATGTGGTAGTTGCCAGAAACCCCAAATCCTTGTGGTTGTTCTGGGACCCCAAGAAACCACAGCCCTGTGATGGGGCTCCCCATCATCCATTCACTTCTCCTGGCTGGGGGATGTTGCACCTGTGACCCCTCTCTGTCCCCCACGCCTCAGGGCACCCAGTACTGGCGCTTTGATGACGGAGCCCTGGACCCTGGGTACCCCCGGGACATCTCCGAGGGCTTTGAGGGCATCCCCGACAACGTGGATGCAGCGTTCGCCCTGCCTGCCCACAGCTACCACGGCAATGAGAGAGTCTACTTCTTCAAGGGTAAGGGGGCAGAGCCTGGCACCACTGGGCACAGGCTGGGCACCCCTGCAGTGCTTGTCCCCCCCACTAACACCCTGCTCATCCTCTCCTAGACAAGTACTACTGGTCCTACGACTTTGCCCAGCAGCCCACGCGGGCCGACTGCGAGAAGTCCACGCCCTCCACAGTGTTCAAGCACTATGCCTTCATGAACAGGGACAGCTGGGAGGATGTTTTCCAGATCCTCTTTGGCAGCAGGATGCGTAAGGGCTGGGAAGGGTTGGCGGGTCCCAACAGTGGGCTCTGACAGGGCACAAGGGGTGCAGACAGCCAGGGAGGAGGGAGCGATGCCTGGAAGCAAAGGTGGGCAGGATGAGCCATCACATCCTGCTCAGGCCATGCACAGGAGCCTCCCAGGCCACAGCTGCACCTCCCATAGCATTCCCAATTCCACCCTGACAGCCCTTATGCCCCCCATGACCAAACCCATCACCAGCTGCCTCACACCACAGTGCCACTGCTGGGGACTTTTTATTGTCACTGGAGTTGGAGATGCCACATCAAAACCCCAGCCCTGAGGAGGGGGAATCAAACAGAGGAGGAGAAGGGGACTCAGCAGATCCCAGCCAAGGGGCTAAGCCACTCCTGGCTCAGCCTGTGTCACTGTCACACATCCCATCCAGGCTGGGATCCCTTGGAGCATCCCTGTGGGTCTCGGGCATGCTGCTGCCCCCTCACTCAGCCTCTGCTCCTTTTGCAGCCGGGGCAAACGGGCCGTGGTACATCAGCCGGGACTGGCGGGGCGTGCCCAGCCGCCTGGACGCTGCCATGGCCGGCAGGATCTACGTGGCCTCCCAGCAGCCCCGCAGGAGGAAATCCCGCCGCCAGCGCAAGAGGTACAACCACCACCGCTCACTGAACCTGGGATTCTGGAGCTGGCTGCAAAACGACCCCGACTCATCAGGTGTTGAAAGCGATGGGCTGTCGGGCTCCACGTGTGAGATGCTGCAGAGTGTTTACTTCTTTGTGGGAGGTGAGTCTGCTCTGGCAGGATCCAGGAATGATGCGGGATCAGGGGTGCTGGGGAAGGCTCCTCTCTCTCTGCAATGGCTCTGGGGTGCAGTGGGAAGGTGCTGGCAGTGAGGGCTGGCAGCTCCCCAGCGCTGGGAACAGTCCTGACTGCCCTGTGCCCTTCCCCAGACAAGTACTACCGTGTCAACCTGCGCACCAAGCGCGTGGACCTGGTGCGGCCGCGCTACCCCCGCTCCATCGCCCAGTACTGGCTGGACTGCCCCCAGCCCACGGAGCAGAGCGCCTGATGGGATCCCTGTAGCCACCAGCAGCACAGCCCCAGCTAGACAGAAATAAACTGTGAGGGCCATGCAGGCTGCAGAGCTCTGTCTGTCCATCCATCCAACTGTCTGTGCCGTGGTTTGTGCAGTCCTTGCAGTCCAAGGTCCCGTGTCCCCGAGGGCTGTGGTTGTCCCCCCAGTCTGTGATGCTGGCCCCATCCATGGTGTGCTGTGGCAGCTCAGATCTGCTCTGCCAGCCAGGCCAGTGCCTCTTCCCACTGCAGGAGAGGGACGGTGCCAGCAGCTGCCAGCGGGAGCAGCAGGGTCAGGTCTCCATCTCCCCAGGATCAGTGCACAGCCGCACGTGGGAGAGGCTGAGCAGGGATGGGCGCCCACCCAAGGCCCTGCTGCTCTCCCAGCACTGCCCCGCTCACCTCTGGGCTCTGGCAGGCCTGGCCATGGGGGTGCTGAAGGGATGACCCTTCCCTCGGGGCTGGGGACGTGCTCAGGGCCGGGCAGCTCCCTCTGCAGCGGGTGCTGCTGAGACAAACTCCTGCTCCTGCCACGGCTCCTGCCATGAGGACACACAACCAAACCATCACCTCCAAAACTCCAGGGAACTCCTGAGCTGCAGCTGATGCCCAAGGAGTGGCTCTCACCTCTGCCTCTGGTGTGGCTGGGGGTGATGGGAGCCAGGCAGAGCTGTGTCCTCCTGTCCAGCACTTCCCTCAGGGGGCACTGGCTGTGGCACAGTGGGCACTGGCAGCACCTGGGCGTCAGCAGAGCGGTCAAGGTGGCTGTGCCACCCCTGTGCCACCCCTGTGCCACCCCTGTGCCACCCTTCCAAAGGGACCCCTGGGGCTGTACCTGGAACATGGTGGCATCAGCTGGCACAGGGCAGCACTGTGGGCAGCTGGGGTGGCTGGAGGCAGAAGGGAGCTTCTGCAAGAGAGGACAGAAGTGGGTGGGTGGTGTGTGCATGGCTGGGTGGCTGTGCACGGGTGGGTGGTTTGTGCCTGCTGTCCCTGCCGTGGTTGCAGGCTGCCGAGCCCTCCCTGCCTCTCACCGGCAGCCGGGGCACGGAGCTGGGTGTGGTTTCAGGCCGCCGCTGCCTCGCCGGGAGCCTCTGGGGGACGTGCAGGCTGCGGGCACTCCGGAGCAGGGGCTGGCTGTCACAGGAGCTGCGGGTGCCTCTGTGGGACGGGCCAGCTGGGATGTCACCGCTGAGGTGTGGGGACAGATGGGGATGCCTGGGGAGCAGTGAGGAAGCCCGGCAGGGCATTGGCAGCCTCCAGATAGCCCTGCCCAGCCCCATGTAGTCACCGAGTTGGTGCAGGGTGCTGCCCAGCCAGGGGCTCTCCTGCCCTGGCAGCCCCTTGATCCCCTGCTCAGGGGTCCCACACAAGCCTCCCATACCTCATCTGCTCGTTCTCCACCACAAAGTCCCGCAGGAGGCCGTAGAGGCTGGGCCAGGCCGGGGTTCCCTCTGGTGGGAGCTGCCCTGCAGGGCCGTGCCTGTCCCCAGAGCCTGCCCATGCCTTTGGAGGGTTCCCTGCCACCTCCGTGCCCCTCACTGGCACTCTGGGCAGGCTCAGCTGCTGGCGCAGGGAGAGGTTTTCCAGCTGCAGGGCATGGATTTCTCGCTCCAAGGTTTGCAGCAGCTTCTCCCGGGACACCTGGGAGGGTGGGTGGATAAAGAGGGGCTCAGGGGGGTCCCAGCAGCGGGGAGAGGAGCTCAGAGGGGTCCCTGTCTGCAATACCCTGTTGGCCAGGGGCCTGGTGGTGACCCTGCGGGCACGGCTGGCGTAGTGCAGAGTGCTCAGGGTCTCTGAGAGGCAGTGTGAGGACGGGGAGATGCAGGCGACCTGCCAACGAGGAAGACATGCAGGTGGGCTGTCATCCAGAGGGTCACCACCCTTTTCCACGGGGTGAGACCCCTGCCCAGCCTCCTGCGTGTTTTACCATCAGGGTGATGCCCGAGCCGCCCAGGGAGCGAGCCAGCAGCCGGGTGAGCTTGCTGTCCCGGTAGGGGATGTGCGTTCGCTTCCCTCGGGATTTGGCCAGCAGGGAGATGCAGTGTCCTGCCGGAGGATGAGCCACACAGGATGTGACAAGGGACAAGGCTCTGGTGGGGGCGCTCCCAGGACGGGTTCCCCAGCCCTTACCCAGCGCCAGGAGGCTGCGGTTGATGCTGTTGGCCTCCACGGAGAGCTCCCCGCTGGAGCCAGTCTCCTTCACCCGCTCGCTGCCAGCCAGGTCCACGAAGCACAGCGTGCCCTGCTTGCTGGGGCAGGCGCTGGCCTGGGGAACCACGTTGTGGGGTGATGCTTTAACCCCCATCATCCCTTCCCCATGGCCCACAGCACTGTCCTGACTCCTGGATTTTGGACAGGATTCCCGGCTGCTCACTCCAGCCCCCACCCAGGTATCCTTGAGGAGAGCATGACCCCCCCACCGTGGGGCTG